AAGAGAATTTGATTCTGAACAAAATTAATTTAATAGCAAATAACAAAAAAAAATTAAAGCCTTATTGATTATAAACAGTGAACTGCTTGAAAAATTAAACTATTACAAGAATAGTAATTTTAAAATTTTTTCTAATTTAGTAAACAGTTATTTTCAAATTTTGCTCTAGAATTCTTAGTTAAAATAATTCTAGCATATTATTTAAATATAGTAAAAAATATATGAAATATTAAAGAGCTGCCTTATATTTGGTAGCTTTTTAAATTTATTATAAACCCTATATTAATACTTTGAAAGAAATATTTACTAGATATTTCATTTGTTACATATTACTATTTTACAACAAAATCTTTTCATAATATCGAAGTTGTTTTTATTATTTTTATTATTAATATTCTTATTATTGAATACATAAATTATTATACAAATATTATATTTATTTTGTTGGCATATAATATAAATTAATAAATTTTTAAAAAAATCTACTATTAAATAATTTATATTATATTTTCAGAAAGCTTGTTGGCAGTTTTCTTTTAATGTTTTACAATTTTCACAGGATTTTTTACTAATTAAATCTTGTCGAAATGTAAATAGTGATGAGATAATATTATCAATTTTAGTTATATCATTGTTATTTTCTTCAGACATCTAAAAAAAAGAATAATAGCTATTTAATAATGTTTATATAAACATATATATAAAAAAAAATAAAAACTTTATCATTAACAAAAACTTTAAAGATAATAAGTACTATAACTGGTAGATGAAACAGACCAGTTGTTTAAAAGTTTCATCTGTGCTTCTAATGTATTAAACCCTAGTTATTCAAAAGAGAGGAAGCAAAAAGTTTTTGTTTTAACAGTATATACTAATCATCTAAGCTATTTTTTTAAAAAAATAAAAAAATATTAATACTAACTTTTTTTTAAAAAATGTTTGTGATAGAAAAATATACATGATGTTTTTTTGTAAAACAAAAAAGATTATTTTAAAAATAAATAAACAGATCAAATTTTCTGGTTCATTATTAAGTCACATGAATAAAAATTATTTTTAGCTTTATTAAAAATATATGAATTGTTATAAATAATTATGATGAACAATATATTATTATTTTAAAATTATTTATATTATATTATTTTAAAATTATTTATATTATACTATTTTAAATTATTTATATTAAACTATTTTAAATTATTTATATTATATATAATTTATTTATATATATTAATTTATATGTAAATAAATATATATTATATTATTATGATTTTATAATAATATTTTATATTTCAAACTAATTTTAAACTATAATTTATATTATAAGTATAAAATTAATAGATAATTACTTTATTTTTAAACTAATAATTTTTATGCAATTAATATATATTAGTATTTTAATTTTAAATTATAAATATATAATATATAAATTATATAGCTATTTAATTTTTAAACTATAATTTATATATATAATTAGTAAAATATATTGAACCTTTATTTTAAATTAAAATTTATATTTATATTATTAAAATTTAAAGTTTATATTAAAAAAAATTTGGTTGCTAGCAAATAAACTAATTAAAAACTTTTGAATTAGGAATAAAAGTCTTTTGATTTTGCATTCTACCTTCTTTACACTTTATTTGTTACAAACTTTACACATTCAAAATTGTTTTCAAGCCTATTTTCTTACAAAATTTTTACTAATTCAACAAAATTAAATAAACAAAATGCATTTCTTTTACTTAATTCTTGTTGCAATTATTTGCTTGGTCTTTTAATAATAAACTAAATGAATTTACTTGAATAATTAAACTTCTTCAATAACATTATTCAAAAAGTTAGTGCATCAAGCTATCTAGATTGGAAGTTTGAGGTTCAAAACAATATTGAAAATTTGATATCTTAACTTTTATTTTTGAAATTATTTATTCCAAAGAATTTTTCTTTATTGGAATGACAATTTATTTAATAATTATTATATTTAATATTTTTATTTAATCTATTTAATTTACACTTATCCTGAAAGATTTATTTATTAATTAAGGTAAATATTTTACTAAGTTAAAATGTTTAGTATTTATTAAGTTGTAAGTTATCACTGCTTTAAATAAGTCCTATAGCATTAGGATCAGTATCATTTATAAATAATATAATGAAATTGTGAAGTGTAGAACTTGATTTTATAATGATAATATTATACTCACTATTACTTTTTATTTAGATAAATAATTTAATACAAACAAGAAAAAACTAATATGCTAAATATTTTTTGTTATATATCTTAAGATCTGTCCAAAACCAAATATATTTAATATTAAAATTTTTTACAATTTTATTTACTCTTTCATAATTTCTATCAATAATCCATATATTCTTTTCAGTTACATCTTTTAACAAATTCAATGATTCATTATGAACTTGAAATTGGTAGCCTTTAGTCCAACTATGAATTATTGAACAAATATGATAATCATTCCAAGAAAGCAAATTATGCAATCTTTTGTATTTAGTTTCTTTGTAAATTTTTAATGAATGATTAATAATTTCTTTATCAATTAGACAGTTTTTAAATTCTTCATAACTTGTAAATATAATATAGTCAGTAGTTTTAATTTCACTAATAAATTGAAGTTCTTCTTCGATTGTTAGTTTGGAGATTTTATAGTTTTTATTCTTGACAGTTGATGAAGTATTTGTTCAATTTAAATCATCTTGAATTATATCATTCCAATTATTTTTTTGAATATTTTTTGTTTTTTAAATGCAGTTTTAATTTTTTTAATAATGTTTTTGAAAAAAGACATTTTTGTTTAATATGTAATTTGATATAAAGAAATTAATTTTATATCAAATTTTGCTTTTATCTTTTTATTATTTTTTCTTGTTAATTTAGAAGCTAGTTCTTAAACTTGTTATCAATTTTTTCTTTTTAATATTTCTTAATAAAGTAATTTTTGTACCAATAAAATTTATTTATAATAAATAATTTTTAATGATAAGAAAATTTGATTATATGATAATTGTTTTCTACCAATTAAAAATAATAAAATCTTAAGACTTGTAATTGTTTTAATGATCAATTTTTTTATAAAAAATTTCTGAATTTTTTTTTTGAAAAAAATGAAAAAATCATAACAAGTCACAAAATCACTGTAATAAATTTAACTCAATACTATGATAATAATTAATAATATATTAAACTTTTAAAAATATCAATTATTTTTACAATATTATTATCAATGATTATAAGAATTTTTTTAATAATTTTTTTAATATTAAAAAGTGATAAAATTTTTTTTTTGTTATTAAAAAAATGTCTCAGCAACAACAAGAACAACAAAAAACCCAAGAACATGAAGATAATTCTTATTCATCTTCTTCTTTACATTATGTATCTACACCTTTAAAAGAAACAACTAAAGATATAGAAATTGAATAAATAAATATAGATAATACTATGTTAGAACTAAAATAAATAAAATATTTCATCTTTACTTTTAATAATATTATTATTTTTCTTTTACTAAATATATTTTTGAACAATTCATATAATGAATCAATTGACCTTCTTTATAATTTGAATATGTTAAAATTTCAAATTCATTAAATAAATCAATTACTTTTTTCTTATAATCATCAATTATTATATAATTGTCAATATGATAGTAATCAAAATTTTCTTGATTCTGGTTTATTAAATAATAGTTGAAAAATTTCTCAGCATTTTGAAATTGCATATTATAATCTGCAAATAATAATATATTTTGCTTTTTTTTTTTTTAATTTTAAGATGAGGTTTTGTTCATATCTTTATTAGTAATTTTAGTTATACATATTATAATATATTTTGCTTAAAACATTGTTCATATATCTTTTCAAAATTATTATTTTCAAGTTTACTCATTACAATAGACATTTTTAGTTAATAAAAAAAATTTAAAAGTATTTAAATATTTATTTATATAAAAAAATAATATATATAAGAATAAAAATAATAATATAATTAATTATTTATTTTAATTTTTTTTGATTTAATAATATTAGTTTCTGTATCTTTAAATTTATCTAATTGATATTTTGGATGAATTTTAATTTTTACTTGTAACTTTTTATATAAGATATTAATATTTTTAGGAATTATAATATTATCAGATAAGTCTACTTCTTAGTATTTGTTATAAAACCAAAAACTATTTTCTTCATAATTTATATCATAAGTTATACCTTCCAAAATCTAATTCAAATCAACTTGACATTTTGATATATAATATCATCATTTTCATATAAGTTTTTAAAATCATCTCATATACATAATTTTTAACTTCTTTAATATCTAAATCTTCTTCAAATTTTACATCAAATCTATCATCAATAAATAATTGTATATTTCTAGGTTGATATTCTTCAATCATAAAAATCTTTTTTCAAGTTAATAAAATATTTATATGTAAATGAGTTTGATTTTGAAAATCTCCTATGAATAGCTTTTCTTTTTTTAAAACTAATTTTTGGTTCTTTACTTAAAATATGTGTTCTATAACTAAAAGTATCATCAAAAGAATCTTGAGATATGATTACATTAAATTTTACTATTACATTTACAGGAGATAGTTTTTTTAACTAATTGAGCATCTGTCTTTCTTAGATAATTTTAAGAAGTCCTTAATATTCCATGAATCATATTTGAATTCTTAAGTATATATATATTCTTGATTATAATATTCATTAATATATCAATTATCTCTAGCTTTGTCACAAATTTTTTGATTATATAATTTATTTTTAAGAAGTTTGATTAATGCTTGTACTAATTTTTTAGTTATTTTTGATTTTTCAGTTTTTGAATCACTATAAAATAAAAAATTTTTTAAATAGTATTTTTTGTGATATATAAATTTAATTGTAATTTTTAATAATTCTCGATCTTTTGTTATTATTTTATGAGATGCTAGGTTATTATATCATTATAATGGTATGTGATCAGGATTATGTATTGCTTAATAATAACTTATAGATTTATTACATAATTTTGTTTTTCTGTCAATATCATCAAGTTTAGCATTATTAATTTTATTAATAGTCTCATCTGAGCTGCCAACCATAAATCGATGTTTTTCAAAAATAAATGGACCAGAATCTAATTCATCTAATTGTTCTGTTCTTTTTTCTTTATAACAATTGTTATTGTACAATGTACATTTACCCAATTCATCTAATTTAAAAAAATCACACTGACAATATTTTCCTATAGTTTTAATATATAATTTTCAGCATCTTGAGAAGTTCCACATAACAAAACACCTGGGAGAAATGAAATTTTTTTATCTTTTAAAAGTTTTTTCATACTAGATATTGTAAGTTGATAACTAAATTGTAAAAAGATATGAGCATCAATCTTGCTTGCATTGTCCACTTAAATTTTGCAACACTTCTAGTCAATATATTTTCAAAACTATCATATTCTTCTTGTTTTTTAGAAAATAAATATTGACATTCAATTTCTTGTTCTTTACAATTTAAACAATTTATATTATTACAATATGCAAGTTTACAGCATTAAGTACATTTTTCTTTTTTACATCTCTAATGATTTTTTTTTATAAAGTAAACATTTTAGTAATTCTTCTGTTTGATCAAATTCTTGTTCACATATTTTTTTTTCTTTTTCATTGATTCTGTTTTTCTTTAAGCATTGATATTTTTTATTGCAATTGATATAATGAAATGTTGTTATCATTATAAAACAAAATTTATAACTTATTCCTATGTTAATAGTTTAAAAATATAAATTGAAATATTAAAGTTATGTAAATAAAATTCTACTTGGTACTAATGTACAAAGTAGAAATATTTTTATTAAAATTGATATTTATTATAAATTATTTTATATTAGTAATATTATATGATATTTGAAATATATTTATTGTCTTTTACAAGTAATTTTATATGTTTTTCTGATTATGACATTGTTACAATAGGATGAAATTTGATCTTAATAAAATCAATATCAAAAAAATTATTATTTTTTATAGTGATAGCTCTGTTAAGAGAAATATAATAATAAATATTATTATTAATAGTTGTTATAATATGTGATTGAATGATAACATTTTTCTCTATAAATAAGAATTGTAAATGTAATAATATATCTTCTAAGTCAAAATCACAATTTAAATATACAAGTTGTATATTCTTATATCATAAACAATAATATAATGATATTATAAAATATATTTAATAATTATTTAAATTAAATAATTATATAGATCTAAACTCTTTCTGCAAATTCATTGCACAAAAATTAACTAAAAAATCATTTGTCTAAAAACACTTATAACTATTTATTTTACTAAGCAATCCGTCCTAATATCTTAAGTAAATTTGTTCAGCATTGTATTTTATATATATCCTGACAATATTACATCTCTAGAGTTTAAACTCATTGAGAAAACTGTACTAATGGCTTTTGAACCCCAGTTTCAATAATTTTATATTTTTGCAGTTTTTGCTGCTATAACCTACCTTATACTCTTAATTAAAGTTGTAGTGCACATTTGCCTGATTAAAACAAGCTTTAGACAAAAAATTTTAACCTTATATTGGCCAAACTATAGCTAAATTTATCTTTTACTTTTTTGAAAATTTTTTTTTCTACCTTTTGTTCTTACTCTATTTCCTTTTTCTCTTACATGGATTTCATGTAACCATTTGAACATTTTTCAATTTATAATTTATTAATTTATACAAAAATTCTGTAACCTATCTATTAATAGAATCTTATTAAACACAATTCTTTATTTCCATATTTATTTCTTACTAATATTACACAATAATCCATATTTCAAACTCTATTTGTGTTTAGTATCTAAGTCATATTATGACTCTAGTCACATTAGCTACACCTGTGTACTATTCTAATGCTATTCCAATACTATAACCCTTGTCTTTAATTATTACCCCTGTAAATTATCTATCATATTATTAACTTAGAAAAATTTCTAAATCTTTAATCAATCTTTATTTAATCTATTATTATTTAATAATGACTACCTTAAGTCAACAAGAACCTGACATAGCAGACCTTGATTATTTTTACTAAAACTTTTCTAATAGTTTTGGTATTGCTCTTTATGAAGAAGAAAATAATGGCAAGGCTTACCCAATTTCTTTCAAAGTTCAACCTACTACTTGCTTAACAAAAAAACCTCAGATCTAACAAGATTATCTATTTCTTTCATGCTCCTACTACTACTTCTATCATTATTTGTCTTTGTGGCAAATATCATATCAAATTTATCTTAACTTTAAACACCAACTACACTTAAGCTACTGAATTTACAATCACTCAAATTTATAGCAACTTAAAAAAAATTAACAGAACAACTCAACAACTCATGACTAACCTTTTTTCCTCTACTGACAGTATTTTTCTATCTTCTATACCAGATGTTTACTACCATACTTGTTCTAAATGCTCTTTTTCAATTGGTTGTACCAAAAGAAATAAGCATCATTATCTTACTAAAAAATATGTCTTCGAAAATAACAAAGTTTATCATCTTGTCTGTATGACTGCCTTGTCTTAACATGAAGCTAGTTCATTTCAAACTAAGAAAATCTTACCCAAATCTTCCAAAACATCTTATATAATTCTTCTTAAACTATCAATCCTCTTACTGCCTCTTCTCACCAAAACTTAACCTCTTTTGATCTTATTGATTCTTTCTTTTTTTCAAATACCAATACTAATCCTATCTCTAACCAACCTTTTACTTTTTTTTTTTTTTTTTTTTTTTTAGAGTGAGGCCTGGCCTCGGTCTTTATTGAACAATTTGGTATTACATTAATTA